GACCTCAAGTTAGCTTCTGGGGCCTGGGGCTGGAGGGTTGGGGCATATCTGTGTTGTATCACAGTGTTTACACAATTCCCAAGAGCACTAGTGGGTCTGCATTCCTGCGTGCGCGCGCGCATGCGCGCGCACACACACACACACACACCCCACCACCACCACCACCACCACCACCACCAGAGTTTCGGACCCCGAGGTGAGAATCGGCATTTTAACCACCCAGCATCCTGATTTACTGAAAGGGTGAGCCCAGAGAGGCAGCCAGCCCAAGGCCACACAGTGAGTTGGGGGCAGGCTGGGGTTTTCAGGGTGCAAGGAGCACTCCCAGCGCTGACCCTGCCTCTCCAATCCAGCGTCTCCCCCACTCCTCCAGGAACCACTAGCCATGCCCGAGGGGCTGATTTCCCTCCCTCAGCACAATTCCGGGTGATTCTCGCCTCCCAAATTGGCCCCCACCCCTGTCCATTTCTGTCTCCCATTCCTGTCCCACCTCCTGGTGTTTACTACATCTGTGCCATCCTCAGTCCGCACCCCCTACCCCCCACGCCCGCCCGGCTCACCCCTCTGCGCTTCCCCCGGAGGGGGAGGGGCCCCAAGCTGGGGCTTCTGTACTGAGACTCTTTTGTACACCACGAACTTTTTGTATATTTTTAATTTTGCTGCGACATGAGATATTAAAAGTCATTTCAGTACGTGTTGTCTGTGTCCCATTGTCTCAGCTGTTCTGGGTCAGAGGAAGGAGACAGTGGAGGCCGGACGGGGAGGAAGGAAACCCTCTGCCACAAACAGTTTGCTGGGAGGGTTAGGCTCCCTTCATTGGCCAGAGCCTCCATCCGTCAACCAGAATGGAGGGGGTGAGCAAAGATCCTAGGAATTGGCTCCAAATGCTTCATTTTATAGATAAAGGGGGGAAAGAGATGGGGTGGGGGCTGACTTGCCAGAGGTCAGAGAATGAGTCCATGACAAGCTCAGGACCCAGGCTGAAGTTTCTAACAAATATTTATTGAGTACCTACTATATGCCAGGCACCTCTCTCTCTCTCTCAAGAAAAGGACATATCCTCAAGTGAGGATTACAAAAAATAAAAGGAGGGGTTGTGCTCTCCCCTGGCTCTGTTTACCCTTCGCTGGAGAAACTACAGCAGTGTGGAGAGCCGGCTTGAAGCTGAGAGCAGCCCTAGAGCATGGAGCCAACTAGGAAGCCCCCAGGCCCTGCACACCCGGGGTTCCCACACCGTCCTGGGCCACTTTATAGAGAAGGGAGAGGGATAGAGAGTTAGAAACATCGATCAGCTGTCTCCTGCACACCCCCTGCTGGGGATGTGCCCGCCACCAAGGTACATGGAATTGAACCTGGGACCTTTCAGTCCGCAGGCTGACGCTCTATCTATGCACTGAGCCTGGGCCACTTGAATGATAGAAGAGATAAGCTTCCAGCAGGTGTAGGCCACTGCTCTTTAGGTGTCTGTCGCAGCCAAAATATATTCTGGCTGATCTAGCTGGTCCTTCGGTCCCTGAGAGAGGTCTTCTTCTGAAGGATCTCTGGGGAAGGTTTTCCCTCACTGAGAAACACACAGGAAGGGGGAAGCCCTGGCAGGATCGTGATGGAAGTATCACTCCTAAAGCCGCAGCAGCCATCTCACCAGCCGTCGGGGTTTCCTAGAGCTGCCAAAACAAACGCCCGCACGTCGGGGGACTTCCACAAGAGAAACCCACGTCCTCATAGTTCTGGAGGCTGGGAATCCCGGGCCCAAAGGCCGGGGGATCGGTGTCTCCCAAGACCTCTCGCCTTGGCGGGCTGATGGCTGCCTTCGTGCATTGTCCTCACACGGTCTTTCCTGCGTGTGCGCACGCGCACCCCTGGTGTCTGTCTGTGTGTACCGATTTCCTCTTCCTGTCGGGACACCGGTCAGATTAGGTTAGAGCCCCCTCCATGGCCTCATTTTAACTTATCTCCATAAACAGTTACACTCTGAGGTACTGGGTGTTAGTGCTTCAACATATACATTTTGGGAGACACAATTCAGCCCACAGGCCCAGCAAAGTGGAAATGTAAGGAGCTTGCTGCCATTTTTTGAGCTGCTCAATTAGTCAGCCCTGAAATCACTTACCATTGAACTTCCTGCCTTCACAGAATGTCCTGATGCCTAAGCCGCCTCTGGTAGAGCAGTCTGCTCTTTGCAGCCAAAAGCACCACCACAATCCAGGCTCTGTGTGTTCGTTCAAGCTGTTCCCTCTGCCCAGAGTGACCTTCCTTCCCTGTGCCTTTTAAGGCTTGGCTTGGTGAACGGCTCCTGACTCTGCCTTCCCCCAACTAGTCGCTTGCCTTATATCGGAATTCTTTACCTGTGTGAGTCTCTCTCTCTAACCAGGTCAGGGTCAGCATATGCACTGAACACCAGCTGCCACCTTCCCCCCTCCTGCCCCACGGCAAGCATCAATAATCAATCCCCTCTTCACGCTGGGAGTCGATCTGGTGTTTATAATCCTCTACACACACACACACACACACAGCCCCTGCCAATCAGCTGGAGGTGGCTCAGAAGTGGTGGATTCTATTTGCCACAACTGCTAAGTCTTTGAGAGCAAGGACTTTGTTTCACTCACCTCCTTTATGATTCACGAGCTGCTTTTAATAATAAGCATTACCATTGTGTGCTTCTGTTCCCATTTAATCCCTGCAGCTGCCTTCTGAGGCAAGCGCCAGCATTATCCTGCTGTGGACACGTGAGGACTCGGAGCTCCCAGAGAAGTACCAACTACCTGTTCAAGGTCATTAACATTTGAACGCAGGTCCGCCTGTCTCCACCCACTTTCAGTGACATTTTTTAAACACTTGATCTGTTTATGGCCCTAGGAGGGCGCCCAGGGGCCACTGCAGGGAATACACAGATGGCTTGCTGTTTCTGGTGGCACTCAGAGCATGTCTTGTCCTATCTGCGATTCCCAACAGTTCAGTGATGTTTGGAGTTAGTTCAGAAATAGCGCAAGTCCTAATTTTATAGAGAAAGGAAAAGGTTTGCAAAAGCCAGCCATGGGGCTGCCAGAGCAAGAAATCACCTTTTGCCCTAACCGGCTTGGCTCAGTGGGTAGAGCGTCGGTCTGCGGACTGAAGGATCCCCAAGTTCAATTCTGGTCAAGGGCATGTAGCTTGGATGCGGACACATCCCCAGTAGGGGGTGTGCAAGAGGCAGCTGATGGATGTTTCTCTCTCATCGATGTTTTTAACTCTTTATCCCTCTCCCTTCCTCTCTGTAAAAAAAAAAAAAAAAAAAAAAAAAAAAAAATCAATAAAAATAAAAAATAAAAGAAATCACCTTTCACTTCCTGTGCTGCTGGGAGTCCAAGGCTTACTCCGGGGACTACGTGGGAGTTTTGATGTCAGGAGCAGGTAGGGATTGGTAGATAGTCTGGCCTCTTCCTGTGGGCTGGCAGGCCAGGCTAGTGGAGATCTTTCTTCCTGCTACTGGGAGATGACTGGCAGGATGTAGGGGAGCAGGAGGGTGTGGCTGTGTGAGCTTGCACTAAGCAGTCTGGGCCATTCCCCTCCCTGGAAAAGGGGAGGGAGGGAAGAAGGCAGGCAGGCTGGTAGCTGACAGTCTCCTGTTGCTCTCACCCCCAGAGGCAGCGGGAGCTCCGACCCTCATTCCAACAGGCACTGACCCGGCACACCCATGCTTCCAGAACACCTTCCAGAACAATCCTGTGCTTTGTTTGGCGCCCACACTTCACCATCTCCAGCCGCTTCCTCCATCTGGGGCCTGATATCTTTCTTGGCACCCCTCTGACCGCAGGGCAGGGCTTTGGGGTTACTGTTCCCATTGGGAAGACCAGAAGCTGAGGCCCAGAGAGGTTATAATGAGCAACCTGCCTTGGATCCTACAGCAACTCAGGTGCAGAGCTTGAGTCTCCAGAACCCAAGTGTCATGGCAAGGGGAGGCTGGGCCAATCAGAGCCTTTCCAATTGTTGTGGGTGCGGCATGCAGAGTGGATAGGCCCTAGAGGTAAGTGACCAGGCTTCAGATCCAGACCAGGCAGAATTCCCCCCTCTTAGTCACTGTGACTTCCTTGGCCAGCCTCTCAGTTGAACCTTTAAAAAAAAAATAGTCTGTATAATATTGTAACCCAATGTTGTGAGGAATAAGTGAGACAAAATACTTAGTCCTCAGCACAGAACCACAAAGGGGGCCTTATCCAGGCCAGGACACAGACGCAGAGATGGGTAGTTAGTATTTATTGACCACTTCATGTGCTAGGAACTCTTCTAAATGCATTTAATCCTTACCAGGGCACTGAGAAGCCAAACTGCCTAGGCCCATTTTATGGATGAGGAAATGGAGTCACAGAAGGTTCAAGGATTTGCCCAAGGTCATAACCCTAGTAAGAGGCAAAGGCAGGATTCAACTCAGGCAGCCTGTCTCTGAAGCCCCTTCCATACCGCCTCCCTCAGTAGCGATGATAAGATTTAACGATCATAACCTGCTTGGACACAGGGCTGTGTAGTTGATGAAGCACTTTCGCACCAACTCTTTCATGTAGTTCTCACCCCAGCAGCCCAGAGAGGGAGACAATATAACTCCCCATTTATAGTGGGGAGGGGGAGACCGAGGCTGTGAAAGGGGGAACTGACTGGCCTTGCCAAAGTCACACGGCAAGGTCAGTGGTAGGAGTAGGGGTACAATTTGGGACTTTTTGAATCCAAATTTAGGGGACCCCTAGCTCCACTCAACTCCCAAGCCCCCTCCACAGCAAGCCTCTGGCTGGAGGCTCTGAAGCTGTCTCCCCAGGTCAGCGGCTCTGGCTGGCCTTCCACAGTTGAGCTGAAGGTCCCAAGGCTACATCCCGCCCCCTCCACTCTGCTCCTATCGCACAGGAGGGGCAGGAACTCCGGGGCTGGTGGAGTTTCCGACCAGGCAGGAAAAAGAACAAAGGGAAACTTTGGGGGGGGGGGGAAGAGGAGGGGAGCAGTAGTTACGAGGGCAGCAGAAGGGACGCTTCACCATGGACTATGAAGTCAAGAAAGGGAAAAAGGTAGGTGGGAGGCTGGGAGGAGTGCAGGGTGAGAAATGTCCCTGGAGCTGGGGCAGTGGGAGGCCAGGGGTGGGGGTGAGGGGCAGTGAGGGAAGGACTTTTCTCCTCACCCCCGGAGCAGTCAGTCATTTGGGTTCCAATCTCCCTAGCCTGCTCTCCCTGTTCTCGGTGGCTTCTGCCGTCCCTGGAATATGGACAGACAGACACCGTCCAGGGAAACCCAGACAGACAGATTCCAACCTCCTTCCCTGGTATCCTGGGGGAATCCCTGCTGTAGCTTCTCAGGCCAAGGACCATGAAGAGGCCCTTCCCCTGCTCCCTGCCTCCCAGGACAGAAGGCGCTCTGCAGAGCAGTTCTGCGCACTACGGCTTCCCACCTGGCTTCAGACACCTACCTGCTCCCCTGCTGGGCTCCACTCTGCTGCCCTCCCCCCACGTCTTCACACAGGGCCCCCTGCTAAGGCTGATGTTCCCAAAGGCTACCCGCCGCGCAGGAACAGCCGCCCGGAGCAGCGTGAGCCGCCGGCCCCTGCACTCCATGCCCCTGTACCCGCCCGACTACCTCATCGACCCCCAGATCCTGCTCTGTGACTACCTGGAGAAAGAGGTCAAGGTGGGTGCGGAGTGAGGAGGAAGGGTGGGCCGTACTCGGGGTGAGGGGTGTAGGGGAGGAGAAAGCGTTCCTCCGCCCTCTTGGGGTCTGGCTGGTCTGAATATGACACTGACAAATACAGAGTCCCAGGAGAAAAGCACCCACGTTTTATTCAAGTGCTGCACGTCCACAGGAGAATGAAGGCTCCCGAGGAGCGCCCAGAGCAGGGAGCTTTTGCACCTCTTTGACAAAGAAGCAGTAACTGTGTGAAGACTTGACAAGGCCGAGGAGGGTTTCGGCTAGGGCTAGGGACGGGGAAGAAGTGACAGGGTTTGTACAGCCTGCTCGGGCCTACGTCCCGTCTCTGGCGAGAAGGATGTCTGCCTTCCTGCTGTGCAGAGAGGATCCTTTCACACAGGTTTGGCTCCTGCTTTCAGGGAAGGGGAGGTCAGATGTTTTCTCAAACTCCTTTGGCTTAAGATATTCCTTTTTAAAATATATTTTTATTGATTTCAGAGAGAGAGAGAGAGAGAGAGAGAGAGAGAGAGAGAGAGAGAGGGAGAGAGAGAGAGAAACATCAATGATGAGAGATGCCTCCTGCATGCCCCACTCTGGAGATCCATGTGCCCTGACCAGGAATCAAACTGAGACTTCCAGGTTCATAGGTCAATGCTCACCCACTGAGCCACGCCAGCAGGACAAGATATTCTTAATAAGGTGCCCTATTTGGGGGTACCATGTCCCGGACCCATCAAGAGAGACCTTACCTACCTCTCCCCACACCTACCCCGAACAGCCCTGTCTCACACAAAGGAGACTCAGAGAAAGGATCCGGGGGCCTTGCCCCTGCCTCATACTGTGGACCTTCAGCAAGCAACCTCCACGTGCTCGGTCTCAGTGTTTCCATCTCAACATGAGGCTCAGACCCTACCTGCCGGGGAGAGCGACGGGAAAGGGTTCTGTGAACTCAGAAGCAGCACCTTCCAGCGAGATTTCACTGTAGGGGCGTTGTTGCTCTTCAGTGTCCAAGTCCAAGGAATCCAGTTCAGCAAACCACAGGGGACTGAGACCACTCAAGGGCTTGCCTTCTATTTCAGGAACACCATGAAGGAGCAGCGAAGAATCCTCATTACCCAAGGAAGATGGATATGGGGTTGAGAGTGTCAGATTTAGCAAAAACAGTTAAATTTGAATTTCCTGTAAACAAGTAATACTTTTAAAATATACATTTTTTAAAGTTGCTTTCAGAGAGGAAGGGAAAGGGAGAGAAGATAGAAACATCAATGATGAGAGAGAATCATTGATTGGCTGCCTCCTGCACATTCGATACTGGGAACTGAGCCCACAACCTGGGCATGTGCCCTTGACTGAATCGAACCTGGGACCCTTTAGTCTGTAGGCTGATGCTGTATTCACTGAGCCAAACTGGTTAGGGAGTAATACGTTTTTAGCAATAATGTATGTCCCAAATACTGCATGGGACTAAAAAATACTAAAGCAACAACAACAAACATTTGTTGTTTATGTGAAATTTGAATTTTTTATCTGGCAATCCCATATGGAGGAAAAAACTAACAAATAAATCCACTTAAAATTTGGGAACTGGAATAAAAAGAAAATTCAGAATAAAAAGAAAAGGTTTGATTACTTAATCCACCTAGAAGAATAAAACTAAAAGTAATAAAAGACTTCCTTCTTATATTGATGGAATAACATATAAGTAAACTGATAGCATTAAGTTATAGCTAAGAATGAATGAAGAATCAATTTATTGATTTGGGCCATCATTTTTCTCACAAAATGATGTCTGAGTTGGATACAACATTCATTCCTTCCTATTTGATTTCTGCAACAAGATCACAAAGAGGGTGGGTGACTTGCACAGTCAGTTGATCCTGGTGTTTGGGGTGGACAGAGCCACTCAGGTCAGTTCTTTCAAGCTTTTTTTTTTAAAAAAATATATTTTTATTGATTTTTTTTTTTTTTTACAGAGGGGAAGGGAGAAAACTAGAGAGTTAGAAAAACTGATGAGAATCATCGATCAGCTGCCTCACACACACACACACACTGGGTATGTTCCTGCAACGAAGGTACATGCCCTTGCCCGGAATCGAACCTGGGACCCTTGAGTCCACAGCAGCCTATCCACTGAGCCAAACCGGCTAGGGCTATTACAGTGACTTTTGATTCCATCGCAACTAAATAACTGTGTTCAGGCAATATAAGCTAGCAGTGATAGGGTGAGCTGTGGTGTGTGGAGTCCAGTTTTGTCCTTTCTGGTGATATAAATTGGACATGTTTTTTACCTTTGCTGTGCCTTAGTTTTCTCGTGCTTAAAGTGAGGACGAGTCCTGGCCCGTGTGGCTCTCAGTTGGTTGAACATTGTCCAGGGCATTGAAAGGTCGCCAATTTGATTCCCAATCAGGGCACATGCCCAGGACATCAATGCACAAACAAACTAATAAAACAGATTTAAATAAATAAATGAGGATGCATGTGCACAAAACTCTCAGGACTGTGCTGTGTCTGGCTCCATAACAGTTACCACCAGGTTCTTATTATTAATTCAGATATTTCTGTCTGTCTATCTGCACTGTATCAGCGAGGAGGTCAGGGTCCTCCAAGGCCTCAGTGTGTCTTCTTCTGCCCTTCTCCCACCAACCCCCCCCCCCCCGTCCCATCCCTTTTTGCTGTCCAGTTCCTGGGCCACCTCACCTGGGTCACCTCCTCACTGAATCCCTCCAGCCGAGATGAGCTCCTACAGCTGCTGGACACCGCCAGGGTAAGGCTCTGCAGAGGGGAGAGGCAAGGTCTGCCCCCTTCTCCGCTCCCACCCAAGGCCCCGGGGGACTCAGGAGACCCGACCCACCACACAGCAGCTGAAGGAGCTGCCGCTGAAAACCACGGCGGAGCAGGACAGCATCCTGAGCCTGTCGGCCCGCTGCCTGCTGCTCACCTGGCGCGACAACGAGGAGCTCATCCTGCGAATCCCCACGCACGAGATCGCCGCCGCCTCCTACCTACAGGACGACGCCCTGCACTTGCTGGTGCTTAAGACAGGTACAGCGGGTGGGCCTGCACCGGTGGGGCCTGAGGGAGGGCCAGGAGGCCAAGGGATAGAAAAGCCTCAACTGCTTGTTTGGGGAATGAGTGTGACCCGGGGCATGAGCAGGCCTGAGGCTGTGTGACCGGGTGATGGCAAAGGCCTGACCACCCTGTCCTGAGAGTAGGGTCCGGTTATGGCCCTGTGCCGTAAGACCGAGCCCAAGGCTGAGGCCAAAGAGAGGGCGGCCTGACCCACAATACGGAGGTCAAGTGGTGAAGGCAGGAGAAGCGGGAATCCTGAGGCCCCGGGAGAGTATGAAGTTGAAGGGCCGGTGAAGGGGGGCGTGGCCGCAGCGCTCCGAGGCTAGGATAGGGCGGGACTTCGGTGAGGGGCGGGGTCTGATCGAGGGGAGGAGTCTGATCGAGGGGGATGAGTCTGATCGTGGGGAGAAGTGTGATCGAGGGGAGGAGTCTGATCGAGGGGAAGAGTCTGATCGAGGGGAGGAGTCTGGTCGAGGGGAGGAGTCTGGTTAAGGGGAGGAGTCTGGTCGAGGGGCCTGGCCAAACGCAGGGGGCGGAGCTCGAAGCTAAGGTAGCCAGTGGGAGATGTCAGACCTTGCAAATTAAGGCGGAGCCTGAGGCCCGGGGGCGGGGTGAAGGGAAGACTGAATCCTAGGGGGCCCTGAAACCAGGGACAAGGTCCGAGTTAAGGGTACAGAGAAGGGACAGTCTGACCACCCCTAGGACCTTGGGCAAAGAGAGGAGCACTGGGGTGGGGTGGGGTGGGGTGGGGTGAGGCGGGGCGGGTGGGAACGGCCTGCGGAGCCTGAGGCCGGGGATGGTGCCCCATAGTGAGCACCCGAGGGAGAGGGAGTCTGGCCTCAGGACCTTTCCGCTGAGGGCGGGCCTGAAGCCAGAGGCAGGGGTCGGTGCAGGAGACACCTGCGAGGCGCCCTCCCGCCCCCCAGACGGCCTCCGGGGGGCGCTCTCAGCCCAGTCTCCCATGGCTGAAGTCCGCCCGCCTCTCCCAGGTCTGGGCGTGGACCCGGTGCCTGCCGGCGTGGACGCCAGCCCTGGGGGAGCCGGGCGCGACCCGGGCCCGCCGGGCGCCGCCCCCGAGAAGCGGCGGGTGGGCACCACGGAGCGGCGCCACACCATCTGCAGCCTGGACTGGCGGGTGGCGTGGGGCGGGGCGGCGGGGGCCGAAGCCCGGGCGGGCGGCGGCGGCAGCCTGGAGCGCCAGCGCGCCGGGCCGCGGGCGTCGGGCAGCTGGGAGCGGCGGCAGACCTTCAGCGGCGGCGCGGAGCGGCGGCCCGGCGGCGGCGGCGGCGGCACCGGCAAGCCCGGCGGCAGCTGGGAGCGGCGGCAGGCGGGCGGCGGCGGCAGCTGGGAGCGGCGCCACCCGGGCTCCAACCCCCTGGACCCGGACCCCAGCCCCGACGCCTACTGCAACCTCGTCATCCTGGCCGTGCCCAACAGGGTGAGCCCGGGGCACCCCGCGCCGCTGCCCCTGCCTCCCGGGCGCGTCGGGGCTGGGCTGGTGCCGCTTTCCCCCCTCCCCTCTATCCTGCCCCATCCACGAGGGTCCTGGGTACCTTCTCCCTCCTTCTGACTTCAGTTACTACCTGTGAGCCCATGACACCAAACGGCTTCTAAACTCCAGCCCCGGACCCTTCCAGGACACTTCCCCCAACTGTCCCAATAGGATGCAACTCAAAATAGACTCGACTTAATCCCTCCTCCAACCCTGCTCTTTCTCCAAGACCCTCAATGTGCGAACTACCTACCACAGTAACAACCATGAGGACTCGAATCCCCAGCATGAATCCATTGCAAGGTGACTAGACGTCCCACTTTTTGGCGGGACAGTCCCGATTTCTAACAAGTTCCAAAAATCGGGACTTTTTTTAAAAAACACCGCGGGGCACATTGTTAAAAATCGGGACGTCTGGTCACCTTAATCCAGTGCCAACCAGGGCCAGACACAGAATCAGTATTAACTTATTTCATCCTAACAGTATCCAGTAGAGGGAAATACTTCAGTCATATCCATTCCATAGAGAAGGAAACCGTGACCCAGGACTAAGTAACTTGGGCAAGGTCACACAGGAATCAGGCGGCCATTTCAGCATTGGTACCCAGGAGGCTCAGGGCCTGTTCTCACCGGGACTATGTCTTCACCCAAAGCCTTCTTGCCATTCTTTCCTTGCCTACCCTCCCCAACCCATTCTCCACAATCCTCCTTGCTTTCAGTCATTTGACCATATTTATTGAGTGCCAGCTTGTGCTGGGTATTGGGCGAGGTGCTGTGGGTACAGAGATAAAGGAGACATACTTGGTGACCTCCCTTAGGGAGCTCACAGTCTAGCAGACACCGTCAAGCCCTGTGGCTTCTAAGCTTTTCCTCTGGCCCAGGGTCCCCTGGTGAACAAAGCAGACACGTTGCCTGTCCAAAAGGAGGGATGGATAATAATCAGAAAACTTTCGCTCTTCCTTGAAACACTTTCTCACTTGGCTTCCAGCTCTCCCCATTCTCCTGGTTCCCTCCAACCCCCATGTCCCTGGCTGCTCCTTCTCTATTGCTGCTTCCCCCTCTTCTCTTCAGCTTAAGGCTGGAGTGCTCCAGGCTTAGTCCTTGATCCTCCTCTCCCTTTTACCCATTTCCAGATGGTCTCTTCCCGTCTTGGGGCATTTAAAACCCCGAGATGTCCCCCAAAGTTTCTCTCTCATCATCCAATCTCCAGACAGGTTTTTCCACTCTGCCCCTGCATTCGAAGGTCTAAATGACATACAAGCTGAGCTCCCAGTCTTCTCCCCCAAACCTGCGCCTGCCTTGGTCTCCCCGTCTTGATTGATGGCAGCTCTGTCCTTCTGTTGCTTTTACCAAAACCTTGCAGTGATCCTTGGCTCCCCATTCTCTTCCACACAAACCAAATCCACTCTCTCAACAAATCCTCTTGCCCTATTTTTATTTTTATTTTTTAAAATATATTTTATTAAAATTTTTTTTTTTTTTACATTTTTGGTCTCTTGAATTTTTTTTATTTTTTTATTTTGAAGGAATATTTAATATTAACATTGTGAGTTATTATCTTTTGCATATCCAAGTTACACATTTCAAACAAATCGTCATTTATATTTACAGTATACAAATGCAAAGCATTAATTTCCCACTAAATCATCACTTTCTTAAAATGGTACATGTGATGTTATGAAATTAGCTATTAAGCATTCGAAATAGTGGAAAAGAGGTCCTTCCTTCAGTCTTTTTTTTTTTTTAAATATATATTTTGATTTTTTTTTGCCCCCCCCTCCCTCAAACCCCTCCCTCCCCAGAGTTTTATGTCCATTGGTTGTACTTCTGTGCATGTATAAAAGTCCTTCGGTTGATCTATTATCTCCCCCAGATCTTCCTCCCCTCCCCTATTTTATTAATTTTTTACAGAGAGGGAGAGAAATAGAGACCTAGAATACAGACCTCATCTCATTCACCTCTGAGACTCCAGAGCCTGGCCCAGTACTTGCCACACAATAGAAATAAATGAGAATTTATGGGCCAAATAAATAAATGAAAAGTTGTTTTCTAGGAGTTTCTTAGCCTCTGGCCTCCTATCTGAAACATTGTGGTCCCAAGGAGGGTAACAGACTTAGAGTAAAAACACCTGGTGTGGCTGGTGTGGCTCAGTGATCAACCAGGAAGTCATGGTTGGATTCCTGGTCAGAGCACATGCACAGGTTGCAGGCTTAACCCCCAGGGGGGATGGTACAGGGACAGTCAATCAATGACTCTCATCATTAATGTTTCTATCTCCCTCTCCCTCTCTCTGAAATCAATAAAACCATTAAAAAAAAAATCTGGGTGCTAATGTCAACCAATATATGAGCCTGCTTTGAGCCCGGGCGAGCCATTTAATCACTCTAAGCCTCAGATTCTTAACTATCAAATAAGGATCCTCTCTTCCCTGTCCATTTTGTAGGGTTATTGTAGGGCTCAATCTGGTTTAATAGTACATTGCCCATCCCAAAATGCCTATCCTGAGTCACAGTTTTACACCTGAGCTTTTTTTTTTTTTTTTTTTTTTTTTTTTTTTTTTTTTTTGAGAGAGAGAGAGAGAGAGAGAGAGAGAGAGAGAGAGAGAGAGAGAGAGAGAGAGAGAGAGAGATACAAAATAGAAAATGCCTTCATGGAGTTAATCTCTTCATCATTTCTGTGTCTCTTGCTTGAAGGCATAACAAGATCAATTAAAGAATCAAATTCTGCCCTAGCTGGTTTGGCTCCATGGATAAAGTATCGGCCTGTGGACTAAAGGATCCTGGGTTTGATTATAGTAAAGGCATATGCCAGGGTTGTGGGGCTTGATTCCCAGTAGGGAGCATGCAAGAGGCAGCCAATCAAAGATTCCCTCTCATCATTGATGTTTTTGTCTCTCTCTCCCTCTCCCACTCTGAAATCAATAAAAAAAATTTTTTTTAAAAAGAAGCAAATTCTTCTTTATATTTGTAATCTCCAAAGAACTTATGTTCACCCAAGGACTTAAGTTCACTCCTTCTACCAGAGACTGAACTTTGTGTATTCATCCTGCTTCCATTTTTGCCCTGGATTCAAGGAAGCTCATATCTAATTAAGTAGTAACTATGTCGAACCTAACACTTTTATCCACTTCATTCTTCTTCCTCCTACTAAGTATTGGGAGACCTGGCTCCAGTCCTGGCCAATCACTTTACCTCTCTGGGTTTCACCTTCCTACCTGTAAACTAAAACAAATTGGGGCTTATTTAATTTAATTTAATTTAATTTAATTTTTAAAATATTTTTATTGATTTCAGAGAGGAGAGGGAGAGAGAGAGAGAGACAGAAACATCAATGATGAGAATCATTGATTGCTGCCTCCTGCATGTCCCACACTGGGGATTGAGCCTGCAACTCAGGTATGTGCCCTTGAATGGAATTGAACTGGGATCCTTTAGTCCACAGGCTGATGCTCTATCCACTGAGCCAAACCGGCTAGGGTGAGGTCTTTCTTTTAGATAAGCTTCAGGAGGGCTAATGGCTCCCCCAGAAATTGGGTTGCATGTGTGCATTTTTCAGGGAAGAAGGGTTAGAATCGTCATTGGATTCTATAAAGGCTTCCAAGACCCAAAGATGGGACATATCCTCAAAGCCCTTTTGTTAAAAGGTATGTGTGTCTCTGAGAGCCTCCTCACACTGTGCCTCCTGCTCCCCGGGCCAGGATGCTGCCGAGGAGTCCTGCGCCCTCATCTGTCAGGTCTTCCAGATCATCTATGGGGACCAGAGCATCGAGTGCGTGGACCGGGCTGGCTACCACTACACATCCACGCCCGAAAGGCCGTGGCTCTGCAGCCGCAGTGAGTAGTCGAACCCCTGGCCTCCTCTCTTATGAAACATCTGAAAGGCCAGGGGAGGGAGGATGCCCCAAGACTTAGGGCCAGTGGAAGCCTTTAGGGGTTCTGTCTGTCCTGCAATTACAGTGTACCCCAATATGTGGTTTGGTTTTGTTTTAATGTCCGTTTTCATGATCTCAAACCTAGCTGCTTTCTAGATGTTCTGGTTGTCAGATTCAGAACAGCTGAACTTCCCTCTCCCTTTTGTTTTTGTGTTCCTTCTTTTGCAGAAACTTAAGATAGTGCATTGTCTGTTTATGAAGCTGGCTAGCCCCACTAGGACAGTAGGTCAAAGCCAAAATTTCAAGACTGGTCCTTGAATGCAATCAAGGGCTGGAATGAGAATGAGGCCCATAGAATATTCACTGAGCACCAACCATGTGCCAAGCAACCTTGTCCGTCCTGTTTGCCACTGGATTCTGTGTGCCTCACACAGGACCACGGATATCACAGATGCTCAATTTTATTTTTTGAACGAATGAAAGAACTCTCTATGAAGCCTTAGGATTCCAATTTTACAGATGAGGACATTAAGGTTCAGAGTAGTCAATAAAGTAATCAAGTATACACAGCTACTAAGTATCAAAGTTAGGATTCAAACCCAGGTATGTGTGATTCTAAAGCTTCTAACTGCACCAGCTTCGCTCCCCTTGCTGCCTTCAAGGCCACTAGGTGAATTTCCTCAGGCCCAGCCCCCTCCACATGGTCCCTGTTCGCATAGTTCCGGCCATGGGGAGATGGCTCTTTACTTCTGGAGGCACTCCCATCTGTAGAAACTGGCTTGAGGAAGCTGGGATCATTCATTAACGGTCGCAGATATGACAGGCAAATAAATGAGGTAAGGCAATAAATATTTCAAGAAATTCATTCGATCAGTATCTGTTGAGCACCTACTATGTGCTGGGCTCTGCAAATCGCCAGGATATATTGCTGAGCAAAACCAGATGTGGCCCTCCCTTATGAGGCTTGCATTGCGAGGTAATGTGACAGTAAGTAGTTAAAGAGCTACAAAAACACAGTGTAACCACACGCTGTGCTGTGAGAACATGTAATGAGGAAGCAGCCTGCCTGGGGAGTCAGGGAGGTCCTGAGGAAGTGGCACTGAGTGAGCCAAGGTCTGAAGGTGAGGCCAGTCCCTGGCTTCGATGACATAACAGGGCCAGGTACAGAGCCAGTTCTCTGTAAACAGTGCTTCTTTACTCTCAAGACTGAGTTCCTTCCCCCAAAAAGTTCTTTTTTGTGCCAACTCCAACACATCCAGTTTACATAATACTCCCTCACCTGTTCCCGCATCTGTTATACCCAAGACCCTCTGAGGTAGATAGGAACGTGATGTCCCCATGTTGAGGAAGTTGAGGGCCAGGAGACAGGAGGTGAGTTACCCAAGATTATCTGTGCATCAGGGGGTGAGGTGTGGGGGGGGGGGGGCGGGGAGGAAGGCAGGAAACCGTGGTTAGAAGCTTCCAGTAGCTGCCCATTTCCAAGCAAAAGCTAACATCCTTACAATTGCTTACAAGGCCAACTGTTCCAGCCACCATCCCAACCCCAGGAAGGGGCTGAGGTGGAGGCCTCAGAAGCTGGGGATGCTGATTCCTGACAGCCCCTCTGTTTGTGTCCCAGGTGACAGCTGCCGAACCGACGGGACATACGCCTATGATGCCGACTTCAGCTGCTGCAGCTCTTTGTGGGTACCACCCTTGCTGGGGACCCTACTCTCCACCCTCCTCCCCACACACACACCTGTTCATAAACAGGGTTGTGCTTCTAGGAATTCTTGAACTCCCTGTGGGTAAGACAGGTGGGAGAAAGTGATCCCACTTTGATTTGTGCCGAGACAGTGGGCATTGAGGGGGGAGGTAAACTGAACGCTGATGAGCTCAGAAGATCCATACCCCTGAGAGACCTAGGTGTGACCAGAGCCCAGAAGTGGGCCCACGTGGGCCTGTGGTTCTCTCCCAGTCATCCAGACTGAGTGGCTTGCGAGGTCCAAAATCACAGCTGACGCCAAAAAGTCATTTTGGGTTATTTTAGTTGAAATAGAAAAAAAGGAAGAGCTTAAACAAGATGGGGCATTCTCCCCGTCTTTTACATAAAAGATTAGACCAGTTTTTCATGTATGGTCTTGTGGTTGTTAGGGGTCCAGGCTTCTCTTTTCCTCCCTCCTCAGCACTTACTTCCATCCTGAAGGCCACCTCATGTCCCAGAGATGATCATAGCTCCAGCCATCGGGGCAGCACGCCAGGGGCCTCTTTAAAGAGCGTGGCTAGATTTCCCACTGGCATTGTTTGCTTACATCTCATTGGCCAGATTTGGTCACATGGCTACAAGTAGGAAGACTGGAAAATGTAGGATTAAAAAAAAAAAAAAACTCATCTCATCACCATGTTATAGAAAATGTGAAGACCAGGAGGCAGGCTGGCTTTTTTTTTTTTTTTTTTTTTTTTTAAATTGATTTTTTACCGAGAGGAAGGGAGAGAGAGAGAGAGAGCTAGAAACGTCGATGAGAGAGAAACATCAACCAGCTGCCCCTTGCACACCCCCTATCGGGGATGTGCCCGCAACCAGTGTGCATGCCTTTGACCGGAATTGAACCTGGGACCTTTCAGTTCGCAGACCGATGCTCTACCACTGAGCCAAACTGGTTTCAGCCAGGCTGGCTTTTTATTAAGCAATATTTATTGAGCTTGTTCCCCACTGTATTCCTAGCACACAACCCAGGCACTGGGCTGTGTGCTAGGAATACAGTGGGGAACAAGACAAGGACAAGACCCATGGCTAACACACAGTACGTACACAACAAGTGAAGAAACACAAGTTCCCTGCTCTTGCATGGTTTACAGCGTAGCACAGGAGAAAATGAAGTCATTATTTAATAGTGATGAGCATTAATGAGAATGAGCACTAAAGAGAAGCTCAGAGTGCCGAGAGAGGCTGTGCGATCAGGAGGGCCTCTCGGAGGCGACGGCACTTGAACTGAGGGACCCGGAGAAGGAGCATTCTGGGAGAGGGCACAGCAAGTGCAAGGATTCTGAAGCGGGATAGAGCTGGGTGTGTCTGAGGATCAGCCAGGAGGCCACAGCGACTGTGGCAGTGACTGTGGTGGGAGAGAATGTTTGGTGAGATCTGGGAAGCCCTTGCCTGTCATGAGTAGACTTTGTGACCTCATTGGACAGAGAGTCTGACCCAGTCTGGGGGGGGATCAGGGAAAGTTTTCCTGAAAAGATGACATTTAAAATCTAGGTACTCTCCCTCCCTGGAGCAGGCCCATGTGTCTCCTAAACTCTAAGGGACCCCAGGAGGCTTGCAACCAGGGAGCAATGGGCGGGGGCAACTTGTCCCAGGCTGACCCCCGAGCCTGTCTCCAAGGCCTCTTTTCTCTGACCCCAGTGAGCGGACAGCAGCCCCACCGTGGCTCACTTTTTTCTCATAGGAGTTCTAGAGAGCCAAAGCAGCCCCATCTCGTCTCTCTCCTGCTGCTTCTACCCTAGGCCCTTTCTTGTTTCACTGCCCCCAGCGTTAATAAATGTACTCTCACCCTAACCGGTTTAGCTCAGTGGATAGAGCATCGGCCTGCGGACTCAAGGGTCCCAGATTCGATTCTGATCAAGGCCATGTACCTTGGTTGTGGGCATATCCCCATTAGGGAGTGTGCAGGAGGCAGCTGATCGATGTTTCTCTCTCATCAATGTTTCTAACTCTCCCTCCCTCTCCCTTCCTCTCTGTAAAAAAAAAATCAATAAAATATATATTTTCAAATAGAAATAAAAAATTAATTAATTAATTAATTAATTAACTCTAAAAAGAAAACACACTCACACATAAAATAAAATCCAATGATGAATAAGAATTAGCTGAGCAGCCGGGACCAGTTTGGCTCAATGGATAGAGCGTTGGCTTAGGGACTGAAAGGTCCCAGGTTCGATTCCGGGCAAGGGCATGTACCTTGGTTGCGGGCATATCCCCAGTAGGAGGTGTGCAAGAGGCAGCTGATCGATGACTCTCTCTCATCGATGTTTCTGACTCTCTATCTCTCTCCCTTCCTCTCTGTACAAAATAAAATATATTAAAAAAAAAAAAAAAAAAAAAAAGAATTAGCTGAGCAAAAGATAGGGGGAGAGAGCCGTTCCAGGATGATGGAACGGAATGTGCAAAGGCCCAGAGGTGAAGGGGCGCTTGAAGTATTAGAGGAAAAGAAGGCAGGGTGGCCTGAGCACAGACAGCAAGAGTGAGAAGAGGCTGGAGAGGCAGCCAGATAATGTGGGGCCAGGGAGTGTAAGGCCTTGGAAGAGAAGATGGGACCTAGGATGAGGCCTCAGCCCAGAGCACGAGTAGCTATGCCCTCCCACGTTCCACTCACGGCCGGGGAGGAGCTGGAGAGAGATGAGAGAGGACCCCTTTCTGCTTATCCCTGCAGCAATGGCTCCCAGGACACGTTTGAAGCGTGTTACAGCGGCACATCCACACCCTCTTTCCATGACTCCTGCTGCAGCGGCAGCGACCACAGCGCCGTGGGCCTGGAGCAGTTGCAGGATTACATGGTCACGGTGAGCTGGGCACCGGTGCAGACAGCACCAGCAAAGGCCTAGAGATGGGAGAAAACAGGTCATTTCAGGAACTGTAAGTAATCTTGGACATCATGACGGAAGCATAAGGCCCAGAGTGGGACCTGAAGTGAGGAGAGTATACTGAGGCCAGTTTGTGGAAAGGCCTAAACCAGTGGTCGTCAAACTCATTAGTCAACAGAGCCAAATATCAACAGTGCAACGATTGAAATTTCTTTTGAGAAACAAATTTTTTAAAACTTAAACTTCTTCTAATGCCACTTCTTTAAGGTAGACTCGCCCAGGGTGTGGTATTTTGTGGAAGAGCCACACTGAAGGGGCCAAAGAGCCGCTTGTGGCTCGCGAGCCACAGTTTGCCAACCAGGGGCCTAAACTAATGTCAGCAAGCATTTTCAGAAGAGGGCTGGGCCAAGGATGCCCGGCGAGAGGGCTCTGGGCCTTTCAGGCAGGGGCTGGGTCGGGTGCTTCCTGGGATTGATCTCCTGTCCCTGCAGTTGCGGAGTAAGCTGGGCCCCCTGGAGATCCAGCAGTTTGCGCTGCTGCTGCGGGAGTACCGGCTGGGGCTGCCCATCCAGGACTATTGCTCGGGCTTGCTGAAGCTCTACGGAGACCGGCGCAAGTTCTTCCTCCTCGGTGAGCCCCTCCCCCACCCCCCAAAGGTCAGCCAAGGCCCCTGCGCGGTCCCGGCAGGCCTGGTCAGTCTCCAGGCTGGGAGTGTTTGTTCCTTATCTCTCAGCCTCTGATAAGGCCCAGAGAATGAGACCTGTGGAGCTTGTGAGAAGACCAAGGTGCAGAGAGGAGAAGAGACTTGCCTTCAGTCACAAAGTCAATAAGAACAAAGCTCTGGTATAACCATCCCACCTTCACGGCAAACGTGGGAGAGGAGTCCATCCTTCCCATCCGACCCCAGGAGGAAGCTAAGGCTCAGAGAGGCCAAGGAGCTTGTTCAAGGTCACACAGCTAGTGAGGAGGGCTAGTGAAACAATAGTGGGAAAGATAGTATTTACTCAGTTAACATGTATTTGGCCATTACCATGTGCCAAGCATTCACCTCGTCGAATGGCCTCAGCTCTGGGAAGTGGGGGCTTTTATTTACCCCCGATTTTGCAGATGAGCAAACTGAGGCTCAGAGAAACAAAGGGCAGAAGTCACAGAGTAGTTACTGAGGTGAAATGAGCGCCCTTTTATGGGGCACCCGGTGTGTGCTAAGTACCTTATTTAATCCTAACATGCCTACCAGGAGGAGATGGGTACTTACCTCCGTTTTCCCCGGGAGGAAAGTAAAGCTCAGAAGAGTTGTTCTTTTTTTTTTTTTTTTTTTAATTTATTGATTTTAAACAGGGAGAGAGAGAAAGAGGGAGAAACATGGACTTCACGAATTCACTGGTTGACTCCTGCAGACGCCTTGATCAGGGATGGAACCTGCAACCCTGGCCTCTGGGAAACTCTCCAACCAACGGAGCCAGCAGCCAGGGCCCAGAGTAGTTACTTCATGAGGGTCACACAGCTCTGTAATGGGGATGTGACAATAACAAGCTAACCCTAATGCGCATGTGCCATGAACCCCGAGATCTGTCATTATTTTCTGGCTCAGAGTCAAGGCCGCACAGCGTGTGAGTGGTGGGCGGGGATCTGAACCCTGATTTCCAACGGAGGCGATCCCCCTGTGGGAGGGGAAGGGGCCGGACCCCCGGGAGTCACCTGCCCCTCGGCCCGCAGGGATGCGGCCCTTCATCCAGGACCAGGACATTGGCTACTTCGAGGGCTTCCTGGAGGGCGTGGGCATCCGCGAGGGCGGCATCCTCACCGACAGCTTCGGCCGCATCAAGCGCAGCATGAGCTCCACGTCGGCGTCCGCGGTGCGCAGCTACGACGGCGCGGCCCAGCGGCCCGAGGAGCAGACCTTCCACCGGCTGCTGGCCGACATCACGCACGACATCGAGGCGCTGGCCCCCGACGAGGACAGCACGGACGAGGAGGCGCGGGGCTCCCCGGGCGGCAACGAGGCGTCGGAAGACAACTACCTGTAGCCCGAGGCTGCCGCCGCCGGGCGGAGGGCGGAGCGCGTGGCCCTGCAGCTTGGCCTTGGACTCTCACTCCGGCCTGGGGCGGTGCCCATCCTCCGGACCCCTCCTCACCAGGCCACCACCCCCAATCAGCCTCCATTCCCCGTCTCAGATCTTGCCCTTAGGGCTCCGGTTCCTACTAAAGTCCGAGGCAGGGGCTTGGGGCGCAGGTAGCCACTCTGCATGCCCTCCCGGGATGGGCAGCGGCCCCCTGACCCCCTCCCCCTCCCAGGATCCGCAGAGGACACCCCCTCCTCCCTGGCTGCGCGGCTTTCTGAAGGCCCCGCGAGGGGTGATGAGTGGGCTCCACCTTCTGGCCGACTGAGAAAAGAATCCCCACAGCCCGGATCCCGCAGTTCCTCCTCCTCTACAGCTGGAGAAACCCAGGTTGAAAGAGGGAAAGGGACTTGAGGGAATCTCCTGATTCTCCTGCGATGTTATCTCAAATCGACCAGGCTACATCTTTAGAGAGTCTTTTTAAGGCTCTAAATAGCAGGGACTCCCCCCATCCCTACCTCCACCTCCCCACCACCACTGAATCAGATCATCAGTGTGGAGTAGAGGTTTTTCTCTGCTGGGAGTTGACTCGGAGGAGGGTGACCTGGATCCCAGTCCTAAGGCTCCAAACAAGTTGCTTATTCAGATCTTTGATTTGGAGCCGGACAGACTTAGGGCTGCCCTCTCCAACCTGCCTTTGGATCTCTTTGGCTACCCAAGACCCCTGAGAGGGGGTCTGGTTAGCGTCCTAGCCCCTGTGCCCCCATCTCCTCGCATGTCAGATGACAGGGGCCCCACCTGCCTCAGGGGGAGGTCACGGAGATTATCCAAGGCCAAGACCTTAGTGCTGAGTCTGCCACAGGATGAGCCCTCAGAAAACGCTGTTCCCTTCCGCATCTAACACGTTCTAACTCAGTTTACCTGTCTTTACCCCATGTGCACTGGGATGGGAACTGAGGTGGGAGTGAGGTCTAAGAAGACCCTGAGGGAGCACCGTTTGGGAAGGGGAAATAGGACTTACCCCTCACAGCTCCACTGCAGCCTGGCTTCATGCTCGAGCCAGAAAAGTACCCAAGACTCACAGAGCCATCCCAGGGGTCTTGGGCAGCCAAAGGAATCCAAAGGAAGGGTAGAGAGGGCAGCGTTAGTACAGCGTGTGGCGCAGCCCGGAGACAGGCTTGGAGGCTAAAAGAAGTAAGTCCTGAAAGGAAACCAGACACTGACCTAGAACTGTGGTCGGCAAACTACGGTTCGCAAGACACATGCGGCTCTTTGGCCCCTGGAGTGTGGCTCTTCCACAAAACACCACGGCCTGGGCAAGTCTATTTTGAAGAAGTGGTGTTAGAAGAAGTTTAAGTTTAAAAAATTTGGCTCTCAAAAGCAATTTCAATCGTTGTACTGTTGGTATTTGGCTCTGTTGACAAATGAGTTTGCAGAGCACTGGCCTAGAAGAACTAGTAACTTTATTTATAATAACATTACAGAGCCCTTCATGGCAAGACACATGGTTCTTACTAGGAGGTAGGTGTTATCACCCATTTTTAAAATTGACTGAGAGAGAGAAAGAAACATTGATTTTTGTTGTTCCACTTACATATTCATTCATTGGTTGATTCTTATATGTGCCCTGACTGGGGATCAAACCCACAACCCTAGCATAGTGAATGATGCTCTAACCAACGGAGGTACCCAGCCAGGGCTACTATCACCCATTTTAAAATAATAACATTATTGTTAGGGCTTCAGGTCCAGAGAGTTCCATGATTCATACTCAATTTGTGGCAAGTGATCATCTCAGCAAAATTGGTCTGTGCAAAACACTTCTGCTATTTTGCTCTGTTTTATTTTCCTCTTATACCTACACATTCCCATATTCCTCCTCCCCATCATGGGCACCCACTCCTATGTGTTGATATATGTCCTTAGACATAAAATATACAATGCTTTATGTGTGTGTGTGTTTACACTTCATAAATAGTATTGGGTAAGGATCTCATTTTGTTGCTTTTTCTTTTTTCTTCTTTTTTTTTTTAATGTATTTTATTGATTTTTTACAGAAAGGAGGAGAGAGGGATAGAGAGCCAGAAACGTCGATGAGAGAGAAACATCGACCAGCTGCCTCTTGCATACCCTCTACCAGGGATGTGCCCGCAACCAATGTACATAACCTTGACCAGAATCGAACCTGGGATCCTTCAGTCCGCAGACCAACACTCTACCACTGAGCCAAACTGGTTTCGGCCTGTTGCTTCTTTTTCACTTCATAACATGTTTTCAAGATCTACCCATCTAGCTTGTTGCAAAATATTCCAAGCTGAGCATCCATTGTTTTATGTATCCTTTCCCCCAGTGATGGACACTCAGGCTGTTTCCAACTCCCTCTTACCACAACACTGAGATTGGCATCTTTGTGTATGTCTCTTTTGGAGCTACATGAAATTTTCTTTGGGCTCTATACTCAAGAGTAGAATTACTAGATCACAGGTCAGATAGGTTTTAAGTGTCACTAAATTCTGCTAAAGTGACTCCACTAGCAACCTGAGAAGGATGCTCTCTCCCCACGCTTTCATCAGCTTTTACATGATCGGACTGTGTAATTTGGCCTAGAGATCGGGCGATAAGGTGGCATCTCATTGTTTTAACTTGTATTTCTCTATTAATGCTGAAGTTCAGAACCTCCTCCTATACTTGTCAGGCATTTGGGCTTCCCCTGCAGTGAATTGCCTGTTCAGATCTTTGACCCATTATTTATTGGGTCTCTTGTCTTTTTCTTGTTGATTTGCAGGGGTAACTTACACATTTTAGATATTAACCTCTTGTTGGCTGTTGATGTTCCAGATACCTTCTCCCAGTATGCTGCCCATACGTTATCTATGGCAGTGGTTCTCAAACGTTAGCATGGGTTAGAATCTTCTGGAAGGTTTGCTAAAACACAGATTGAAAACTCCACCCCGAGGTTCTGGCCAAGAATTTGCATTTTTAACAAGTATTTACGTGATGGTGATGGTCCAGGAATCACACTTTGAGAACCACTGGTCTAGGGTGCTTTGCTTGAGGCAAATTTGTTCCATTGAACAAATCTGTAATTTTGATCTTTTCAAGTCTATATATCCTCGTTTTATGGATGAAGAAACTGGAGCTCAAGGAATTGAAGTGAATGACCCAAAGTCACACAGTGAGCTGGGATTTGGACCCACATCTGGCTAACCCCAGAGCCCATGCTCCTAGTTGCCCAGCTATCCTGTCTACCAGACTTAGGGATGTAGTGGTTTCAGGCTGAAGCATTGGGACCTGAGACTACATAAGGCCTTAGTGAGACAGCCTTAGAGGGAGGAGTCAGTTGTCTAGAAGCTGGGGCCAAAGACCTAGAAGACTCTCTTAAAGGCCTGCGGCTTTTGCAAGCTCCGAAATTGCCCAGTCCTAGCCAGGGCACAGTGACGGGCTGCTGAGAGGCACTGGAACACTTCTTACCCCACAGCTCTGACAATGGAGCAATTTCCCTCCACCCCGAGGAAGTCCCCACCACCCCGGAACTGCTCTGTTACCAAAGCCACGTAACCTCTAGTTGCTGAAGTCCAAAGAGCTCTGACTGGGGTGGCACAGGCTCTGAGCATGAGGCCACACTTCCTCCTATCGTATTCACAGACCCAGCCAGGATCACTTCCCACCATGGTCCAGTTCCTGGCACTGCAAGAGGGGAACCCCCCTGGGAGTAAACAGCTGATTCCCAAAGATTTATAGGGATGGTGTAAGAATGGAACTTCCCTACCAGCTGGATCCCCTGGGGACAGAACTGCCCCATGCATGAGTGATGAAGTCAATGAAATTACCTTTACCCCTACATTAAGCTCCTCCTACTTTGGGACCCTGCAACTTCCTACTCCCTCCAGGCATCCGACTGGAGACGCCTAGCAGTTCCTCACCACCGTGTGTTGGGGAGGAGTCCTGGGGCCAGTCATTTGGTCACCAAACATTTAGAGGGCACTCACTCTGTGCCAGGCACTGTGCCAAACAGCTCTTTCTGGAGAAGATGGAAAATGTTTTGCAGACAAAGTGACTATGAGCAAAACTTTGAAGGAAGAGCAAGATTTGGGGCTGGTATACTGTACAAAGGTAAGCCTTCCAGGTGGGTCAACATAAAGCAAAGGTCAGGGAGTTCAAAGGAGCATGGCACACTCTAAGACTAGTGGCCAGTTAGCACTAGAGCGTGGTTAGACCCTCTGCCTCCCGGGTCAAGCTGAGTGAGTTTGAATACCAACTCTGACATCTGCTAGTCGGGTGACTTTGGGTAAGGCCCTAAATATCTCCTGGTCTTAGTTTTCTTATCTATAAAATGGGAATAATAATAGTATCCCCTTTAAAGACCTCATAGATGATTGTGACACTTAAGATCATTCATGTAAAAGTACATATAGTAAGTGTTCAATAAATGTGGCCATATTATTGCTGCTGGAGCAATGTGGGGTGAGTGAGGTGGGGGACAGGGCATCAGAGAGGAAGCTAGAGGAGTGGGAAAATTGAGAAGACCCTTTAGGAACAAGGGAGAGAAGGCAATGGGGATTGACGTCACGGCTTACATCTTCCGAAATGAACCTGGTGAGGGAGGTTGGCTGGAGAATAGAGGAAAGCCTGGGTGCTGGGGAGTGGGACAGGAGGCTGGGACAATGCCCAGATAAGAGATGCTAAGACCTGACTCAGATGGGGTAAGAGGAAGGAAGAGGAGAGGGCAGGTCCCAAGAGGAGGGGAGGGGAAGAGGGCTCCCTCCTGGCTCAAAAACAGCAGCCTCTCACATCCTTTGATTAGACTCATTCATTCATTCCACCATTATTTATTATTCATTTATTCATTCATTCCATAACTGGGTGTTTGTTTGTTTTTAGCACTTGAACCCTGGGCACATGAAGCTTACTTTCTAGGGAGTTTATATAGCTACTAGAGGCCCGATGCATGAAAATTCATGCACTGG